ATATAAATACATATAAATACATATAAATCATATACACATGTACATATAAATACATATAAATACATATAAATCATATACACATGTACATATAAATACATATAAATCATATACACATGTACATATAAATACATATAAATCATATACATATAAAAACATATAAATCCTAATTGTAGGAGCTATTTGTCTATTTTTGTTGTCGTTGAATTAGGTTATTGGTTCATGAATTAGGTTATTTTTAGTTTTGATTTTTAAATTAGTATTTTGTTTAATCATAATTGTTTAGAATAAATTTGTTGGTTAGTAATTAGTTTATATATTTGTTTTTATTTGGATGTGGGTATTGGAGGCATAAATATGAAGGCTGTGGGGAGGTTTGGAGGCACGTGGGTGGTCACATGGTTTTATACCAGTCAGAAGTTGGACAACAGGAGGAGCAGTCATGCAGGAGCAGGTGTGTGAGGAAGGACTCCTGTGCATCGAATTGTTTCGCTGTCAGTTGGAATAAATCTACCATTAACTGGATTTTTGGACCTTTCCCTGCGTTAAACATAAACCCACGGAGCAACATGAAGCGGTCACAAGCAGAACTGGTTTGTTCCACTTTGGAGTAAGCTGTTGGAGGAAGAATCAGTTTTGTTGTGTGTTTCCTTGACTGATGAAGCCTTCTGGATCGAAGGTGAAATGTTTCAGCACAAAAAAAAAAAAAAGAAACTGTCCAGATGACCTGCCTGAAAAATGTTGGATTTTATACCTGGATTATTGAGCATGGACTTTGTTGTTTTCAACCAGTTTGACAAGACTGTCAACAAGGAAGAGGGCCAGCAATGGAGGAGGGGGCGTACCAAAGAGACCATCTTATCACAAGCAGAACTGGTTTGTTCCACTTTGGAGTAATCAATCAACCTTTATTTCTACAGGTAAATCCCATTGAGCCTCGAGGACTCATTTACAAGAGAGACCTGATTTCAACAAAGAAAGATGACAACAATGGACAACAGCAACAACAATAAACAGTTATAAAAAGTCATAATTCAGGTTTTTTATTTTTTTATTTTTTTTACAAATAGGATGGCTAAAAGGAAAAGGTAACAAAAAACAAAACAAAACAGCTGGATTCTAAGGTGAATGTAGAAACTAAAAACAGGAACATGTCTGCATTGGTCCCTGCCAGGAGTCCAACAGATTCTTAAAGCCACTTAGAGAGGTCAAAGGTCAAGAGCTTCAAATCTTTTTACAAGATATTCCAGGAAACAGGAGCGGAGTAGGAGAAGGTCCTTTAGTCTAGTTCAGTCCTCACTGAGGGAACACTGCAGGTAATGATGTCCTGAGAGCGCACGCTGTAGCTGCACTCACACAGAGACATGCAGGAGGAGATGTATGAAGGCAGCAGACCAGGAAGTGATTTAAAGATGAAAATGTACCAGTGGGAGAGTCTGCGTGAAGTTAATGGTGACCAGTTAACCAGTGAATACAGGGTGCAGTGGTGGGTACGGTAGTTACAGCCAGTTATGAATCTTAGTGCACCATGATAGACAGCATCCAACATCTGCAGCATCCAACATCTGCACCATCCAACATCTGCAGCATCCAACATCTGCAGGGTTCTTGTAGGAGCGTTCATGTAAATAATGTCACCGTAATCAATGGAGGGAAAGAAAGTCACAGATACAAGGTGTTTCCTAACATTCAGGGTTAGACAGGATCTGTTTCTGAAAAAGAAACCCAGTTTAACTTTCAGTTTCTTTATCAAGTTTTCCACATGGAGCTTAAAAGAGAGATGTGAGTCGACCAAGATACCCAAATATTTATAGGAATCAACAAACTCAATGGGGACACCATTTGAGGATAAAATCGGAGGAAGAACTGCTGGGACCAACTTCCTATTTGAAAAAAGCATCCCTTTGGTTTTGTCGGCATTTAGGACAAGTTTGAGGTGGAACAAATCAGTCTGGATGTAGTTAAATGCAGATTTCAAAAGCTGGAAAGCCTTACCAACTGTTTTAGCTCGACAATAAACAACTGTGTCGTCAGCATAGAAATGTATGGATGCATTAGGGATGTTTTTACCTACGTTATGTATGTAGATTGTAAAGAGGGTGGGTCCTAAGACTGAGCCTTGTGGTACACCATTGTTGACTGTTAAATAACTGGAGGAAGTACCATTATGTTGAACACATTGCCTCCGGTCTGAAAGATAGTTAGAGAACCAACCAATGGTGTGTTCTGAGAAACCAATTTCTGAGAGTTTATGACACAAGATGTTCTGATCCACAGTGTCAGAATCTTTAGACAGGTCTAAGAAAAGTGCAGCACAATAATCCTTAGCATCCAGTGCTTCAACAACATCATTAAGAACCTTGAGTGAAGCAGTGGTTGTGCTGTGTTGTTTCCTGAAACCAGATTGATGTGGAGGTAAGATGTTAAATGAGTCCAGGTAATCTTTGATTTGAGAGTTTATCAGTTTTTCTAGAACCTTGGCTAAAATGCAGAGTTTAGAGATTGGTCCATAGTTGTTCAGTGAGGGGGGGTCACCTCCCTTCAGCAAAGGAAGAACAAAGGCTGTTTTCAAGTGTCTGGGATGGAGTTTTGTCTTATGGAGAGATTGAAGATGTGGGTAAGCTGTTAGAGGAAGAATCAGTTTTGTTGTGTGTTTCCTTGACTGATGAAGTCTTCTGGATTGAAGGCGAAACGTTTCAGCACAAAAAAAAAAGAAACTGTCCAGATGACCTGACTGAAAAATATTGGATTGTGTACCTGGATTATTTAGTTTAGCTTAGTTTAGTTTATTATTTTTTGAATATGTAAAAAGAAAGAAAAAAAATATATATATATATGTATGTATGTATATATATAGCATGAAGCATAATGTCAAAACTTTTTGTTTTACATATTCAAGGGAGTGGGTAGAAGTATAAACTTATCAAAATTCCCACTCCTTAACTACTTACATAATCTTACATTCATTACATGTATAATCCATACATATAACAACTAATCCCATATTTATCCATCAATATAGTATCTATTTAAGTTAATTATAGTAGATGAACAATTATTATTTCTTTAACTTCACCAAAAACAAAAGCATCAATAACAAAAACAACAACAACAACAATAAATGAATAATATTATTGTATATTATATCCAGCAATAATCATATGTTTATATGATAATTTGAACAGTTTTATGTTTGGACATTGTTTAAGTTCAATATTCAAATTATTCCACAGTTTGACTCCACGTACTGATACACTAAAGTTTTTTCTAGTAGTTCTGGATTAGCATATTTTAAACTGATTCCTCCTTAACGTTTAAATTTGCTCCTTAAGTTTAAACAGGTTTTGAATGTTTTCTGGTAAATGTTTATTTTTTGCTTTGTAAAGAATTAGAGCTGTCTGTGGTTTCACTATGTCAATGAACTTTAATAATTTAGATTTTACAAATAGTATATTAGTGCGTTCTAAGTATCCCACCTTATGGATTACTCTTATTGCTCTTTTTTGTAGTATTGTTAATGCCTGTAGTGTAGTTTTGTAATTATTGCCCCAGATTTCTGTACAATAGCTTAAATAAGGTAAGATTAGTGAACAGTAGAGTACATGTAATGCTTTTTGTTCTATGACCAACTTGGCTTTGTTTAAGAGGATTATTGAGCATGGACTTTGTTGATTTCAGCTCTACACATTTATTTATTATTATTATTTATTTATGTAAATAATTTAGTGGTTCCTGAAGCTTCCTATACTCCTCCTGGGTGTTGTGTTGATTGTCTGCTATTGCTGCCAATTAGGAGTGCTGAGGAGAGAGGAAGGCAGGGTGCAGGGCAGAACTCCTACATTACCCCCCTCTAAAGAATCGCCTCCAGGCGACTTGAAGCACTTTTCTGGGTGTGCTCTGAAGAATGTGGTGATGAGGCTGAGATCCAAGATGAAGGACCTTGGGATCCAGGAGCGCTCTTCTGGACCATAACCCGCCCAGTCGACCAAATACTGGAACCCTCGCCCCCCGGCGCCATACATCCAGAATACGGCATACCGTGAAGACCGGATGGTTGTCAATGAGACGAGGGGACAGAGGGAGGTCGGCAAGAGGGCACAGCAGGCTCTCAGCGACGGGCTTGAGTTGAGACATGTGGAAGGTGGGATGAATCCGCATAGATGCGGCTAATTGGAGTCTGACTGCCGTGGGACTGATAATGCATGTGCTAGGAAAAGGACCGATGAAGCGGAGGGGGACTTACGTGGGTTGTCTTTGACGTGGATGTTCTGGGTAGAAAGCCAAACCCTTTATTTGACCTTGTACGATGGAGCTGTAGAACGGTGACAATCCCCACTCT